CATAATTTGTATTTCGTCAAAAAAGTATTTATTGCCCATAAAATATTAATTTAAATTAATTTAACACAAATCTGAATTTAAATAATTTGAAAACAATTAAAATCCCTCAGAGCTTCACCTCCAAATAATCATAATTAAACCATGCTATAAGTTATTATTTTATGTATAGTACTCATTAAAAAGTTAAGAAATAACATTTAAGCAACATCACAGTCATTACATCCAGCAATCCAGCATTGTCTCATTTCCAACGTAAACTGTAGACAGTTACTTTCAATGCAGACAAGACGCAGGCTACCGGTTTCTAACACAAAATTAGAAACAATTCGAATGGAAAGAAAAATTACCTTATATACAAAAACGACACACATGTGGAAATTTAAACCTATATTTATTTATTTATTTATTTTATGCATCGGTCCTTTCTGAACATCCAGATAGCAGAACAATAAACCATTGCATCATTTTAAGTTAAAAAAGAATATTGAAATGATTGTCAAGAGTATCACTGGTGCCCACGGTATCTCCCATTGTAACGAGGTAGAGACGAGGGTCAATAAAAGAAACGAAATGTGGGGTGATAATTGATTTGTTTGCAGCCTCAAATTAGGGACACAATGGTCACTCAATTAGGGACACTCCATCCAATTATTAAGGAGGATTATTCTTAGGGAATCTTTTCTTCACGAAGTCTCCAGGACACTTCGTGACTTACGCCAGACTAGATCATTCTCAGTCAGTCTAGGTCAGCAGTTCTCAACCTTTTGACTAACACGTACCATCTAAACAAAAACTGGGAACCTTAGTACCACTACTACATTTTACAATAATTATTTTTCAATTTCTCAATAGAAATATTAAAAAATATATATATTTTGTCATTCGCACAACCTATTGGCTATTTGTATTAAAAATGCTCACATAAAAAATATTAGAGTAAATAATGGTGACCATTTTAATCATCAAAACTTAAGTTGCAATACTTTAATTCTAAAATTTAGTGCGAACTTTGGACCTGTTTAATTTTATCGTGGCTAAGAGTCAAGGTCACCGATCGTTGGCTTACGCTATGGGCCTTTATGGGGAACAGAATAAATTTCCGCAGTTTCATTCAAACTCTAAAGGAGAAATCCTCTTTTATTCCTCTCACAGGGCTACTTACCAGCGTCTCAGCGTACAACCTACTTACCCCATCAGCACTGGTTTTCTTTATGTCTGGTCTTATTTCACCTAGTAACTAGTAAATTGGGATCTACTTTTAATTTTGTTCTGTATTTATTTTTCAAATATAACTCGGAAGAAAAATCCTTGTTCACACAAATAAATTGTACAAAAAGGCAATAAAAATTTAACATTTTCATTTAAAACGCCTTTGAATTCTTTTTTTCGATTCAGCCAAAAGTCAACAAGTGTTGTGTTTTTGAAATGTTCGGTTAGAGTTCGATCACAGGAAATTTCTATCAATGGTTCTTTTTCTTGAGGTGATAAAATTTCAGGTACATTTGAACAAAATGAGTTTCTAATCCAATTTTCTTTTTCATAATCCTCGAGAAAATACACGTTGAAATTATTTATCAATGGAACACAATGATTTTTAATGTCGGATGCTAATTCTTCTTTTAATTTTCAAATATATTTTTCGATTAGGAAACTTTCTAAAAGCGGTAAAAAGCTTGAATTCCATTCTTTGATTATTAGCTCGAGTTTCTTTATCATTGCATTTATTGTAACTCTAATGGTAAACAAATTAACACTCTGTAATCTTAAATTAAATTCACTTAACTTTCTAAAAATATTCGTTAAATATGCTAAACGCGCCAGCGTTATTCACTAAATAAACATTTTTGCAATTCAAATCTGGAATCACAGAGGAAAATTTGAATTTCTGATCGAAGTTCAAAAAGACGATTTAAAACTTTGCCTCTGGATACCCACCTTACTTTGGAACGCAACAAGAGCGTTTTATGTTCAACTGCCCATTTCTTGGCATATAATCGCAAAAATCCTTCAATTTAAAGCTCGGCTTTTAATGAAATTATTAAAAGCAAAGGTTTTTGGGGATTGTTTTGAGTAAATTTAGTTTCCGATGCGACTTTCTTTATTTGAGAAATAACACCGAAATGTTTTCCTTTTAAAGCCCGAGCTTCGTCACTGCATACGGCAATGCACTTGTTCCAAGGAATATCATTCTCAGACATAAAATTGTCGATTACTTTAGAAATTTCATTTAAAGTTTCTTTATCATGAATAGATTCATAAAATAAATACTTTTCGGTAATTCGTTTACCTTCTTCGAAACGTATGTAAACTAATAATTCAACAAAGTTCGTTATATCAGCACTTTGTAAGGATTATGTTAATTTTATTAACAGTTAAATTTTGAGTAGCGATTCTTAACTTCAACTTACCACTTCCGGCCGGAACGCAGTTTTAAAATCCCGTTTGGATGCAAATTGAGGAAGAGCAGTATTTAACCGCGAATTTCTACTGTCTTAGTTAGAGAGAACCACAGATTCTGGCTAGCACGCGTCCGCAATTTTAGGCTACTCTCTCTTAAGCTATTATTACGCTCGGCCGTACTTTAGGCCCTTAATAGCTTCGCAGTCCATTAGCGTTAAGGGGCAACTCCGTTAGAATCTTGATAGCTTCGGCTATATCTTTTTAGTTAATGTTAGTTAAGTTTTAATTCTTAGTTCCCTAAGTTCAAGCCCGAGAGTCGGCTTTATTGTAAAACTCCAAGACGGAGGTTCTCTTAAATCTTATTTGAATAATAAAGGGTCTTTTAACCCTTGCCAAGTCCACAAAATGAACTGTCTAACGAACTGAAGCGATTATTCGCTTACTAGTTCTTAAGATTCTTCATATTCAACTGTAACTTAAGCACACAGTAGAGAATCTTACAACTATCATGCAACTGCAATGCAAAATACTCAATGTGTTTTATTTTTTGAATAAGCGTCTCTTTTAAGGAATTTGCCATTTCATGAATTCGTCAATTTATTGTATCATTTGATAACGAAATATTATTAAGTTCATTAACTACTTTTTCGTTGAATAATGTTAAAACGATATCTTTAGCTGCTGGTAATATAAAGTTTTCTTCAAAAGAGTAAGCTTGCCCAGCCTTAGCAATTCTTAGGCTTACTAGGTAACTTAGTTTCCAAAACCTTTTCACTTGAGGTAACAAAACCTTTCATTACTTGTTTAGTATTTTTTTTTTTTTTTTTTAACTCCAATAATTTCCTCTTAAAATATTTTTCAGATTCATGCTTAGACTCCTCAAGATGTCTTTTTAGAAACAATGGTTTCATACTTTAATAGGAAAACAGTACAACGCAAGCAATATATTGAGGTTAAGAGTCCATTTCATCTCCATTGCAAGTAAACCCAATACTATTATATTTTCTATAGATATATTTTTTTCTTTTTAATATTCTTAGTGCCAATACATTGCCTGGATCCATCACTTTTTCCCCTCAGTCAATCCTAGCCCTTTTTCCCCATTTTGAAAATCCAGGTTTGTTCTTATTTATTATCTTTTCATAAATATTTAAGTGTAAGTGTACATTGCGAGTTCTTCAAAAACAAACGACGATATTTTCAAATCGCATCGAAAAGTAAGGCACACAAAACAACAGGAAGACAAATTGCCTGTTATTAGAGACAGCAAATGCAAGTAAAAAATGATTCTAATTGAAAATAGAGCAATATGAGCTCGGAAATGGTGGAGAGATAAAGTGTAAACATGCTAATAAATCGATCAACTCAAAAAGAATTAATGAGATATTGTTATTTTCCTTTTATTAGGAACTTAGAACTAGTTTTTTTTTTCCTATTAAATGCAACATCCATTTCTATTAATCCTTCTAAAAACATCATTGGTGACAAATTTCGTTACGTCTGTGGGTAAAAGACTATTTGTGAAAATAAAAACGGATTATTTTGCTAAACTCTAAGAGCGGCTTGAGTAATGGTAATGGTCAGATCGCATAAATTTCCGAGAGTTAGAGAGAACACTTAAACAGGATATTGGGGTATTTAATCAGGGGCGTAGCTAGAGGGGGGCATCTGTCCCCGGGCGCAGAATCCAAGGGGCGCCAAACTGATGTCACCACATTTTAGAATTAAATGTTTTCCATTTTTGGCAAGCAGTTCAGTTGTCCCTGGGCGCTGAAAACCCTAGCTACGACTCTGTATTTAATGCTTGAATGTAATAATTAAAAATACTTTGTTTCTTTGCGTACCACAGTCGCTGGTCTAGGTCAATGTTTTGCATATGATAATAATAATAATAATAAAAACAAATGCGTGATTATGCTACGGTAAAAACTTTTCGGTTTGAGCGTGTTGCACTAACTTATTTGAAAAGTGATTTAATAAAAAATTTGTAGTTTGGACTGACATTTGTTGTTTAAGCATATTTTAATCAACACCAAATCGTTTCTGAATAAATTTCATACATGATTTACGATATATTAAAATCATTTTTTTAAATAGGTTACTCATTTGTTGAAGACATGGAAAACGTGTTATAATTTCAATAGAATTCATATGCTTTACAGAAGTTGAAAAGTTTTACAAAATTTTCATACGAACATGTAAAACTAATATCACTTCTTAATTTTTTGAAATGTAGCTTTTAGAAATCACTTAAGAACGCTTACCACAACCATATATATCAAAACAATGCATTTCCTAAGGAGTAAATTTGTCTGGAAGATTTATCTATCGCATTACAGGAATTTAGTGTTTTGTACAGAAATATCATGTTAACACAAAAAGTATTATATGCAATATTTCTTTATTTACACAAAAACATTCACTATAAAAACACACAAATATAATTGGAACAATGTTTACATGAAAGATATACAAATAATTTTGCTTTAAATATCTACATGCAAAATTTTATGATTTTAGTGAAAAATGCACTAACGACATGAAAATATATCACCAAGTACATCTTCTTTTCAATGAAATTTACAATGATATATCTCGTTATCTTAGCCAAAAATAATACACGAATGATATTAAAACAGCATAAATAAAAATACATTCTATGAAATAAATGTTAGAAAAGTCCTAACGCAGCCGTGTGCTCTCTTGACTTTTGTCTTAAATTTGCAAGAACATTGCAGGATGTGTCAAATTCTTTGCAGACGGTATTAGAATTCACTGAAAATAAAAATAAAAGTATAAATTATAAGCAAATTTTGTTGTATATAATTTTAATCAATTTTTTAGATATTTAGACATTTTATGCTATTATAATCTATTTTTGGAGTACTTTAGTCATTTGATTTACAATATCGTGTTTAGCTGCATGCGTTATTGTTTTAATTTGTCATAAGTTTATTTATTATCATTGTTTAAAAACCAATGTAAAATGTAACTATGAAAAGAGAGAAATTTCTTTTCTTTATAAAAATTTTCACCCCTTAAGCTTTTTTTCATGCGTATTTGCATTCAAAACAGTGATTCTAATTAGTCAAGTTATTTCATGATTAAAGTCAAGTTATTTCATGAAAGGTTACAGGTTTCGTATTGCTGTTCTTTCTATTAAACTTTTCTGCTTTAGAAAACACGCAGGATGTATACTTATAAGTACAAAGATTATGAAGGGATGAAAAAAAAGTTTTCGAATAAGGTATTTAAGTAATAAATTGGTTAGTGAAAATATTATATTATCATACACTGTTTTAAATCTCTGTAAATATCAAACTAACGAACTAATGATTTGTTTTAGAAATCGAAGCTTACCTGTTGGAAACTGACTGCCATACGAGAAGGTGCTTTTCATGTCTAAAGGCATAAATGTATGAGACTGCAAGTTGTTGAATGTTGTGCTCATAAATGATTCACTGTTGCTAAGCATTCTGTAAAGGAAAAAGTTAGGCAAATATTAAAAACCGTAAACCTCTTACAGAAAGATAAAATATTAAAATTCAAATTCTCGATTCCTATATGCCTCCCCAATTTCTTGCTTTAATATTTTATATTAGAAAGGGCGAAGAGAAAAAAATGCATGTTGCGTAGACGCAGTCAGCTAATCAATGTTTATTCATTTTAAGCAATGTTTAAGAATATTTTTAACCGAAACACTGCACAGTGATTTTTTTTGATTAATTTCATGATTTATTTATTATTAGCTAGCTAGTATTTAGTTTTTAGTATTTAGTTAACATTACTGCTCATTGTTGCTCGAAGTTTGAGTTATGTTGTAAAATAAAACAATAAAGTAATTGATCCACTTCCATTTAAACTTTATTTAATATTATTTATTTTTTATTTAATTTCGTTTAATCTTATCACCAAGTTTCAAAACTTATATATAACTCTAAAACTTCTACTTTTCAGTTCTCCCACTCTCATTCCCGTACAATTCATGCCATAGAGAGTTTCACACGTGCGCTTATTCGATTGTTAGGAAATAGCAAGTTTAATAGCTCGGTTGGATAAGTTAGTTTAGTTCCGTGCAAAAATGCGCAGGTTACGTTAAATCGAAGCGAAATGTACGCATTCCTCCCCTTATATCTGTTAATCATTATTTTAATATTCTTTCCTTTGTAATAATAATCTCTTGTTATGCATAGTAATTAGAAAGCAATCTTTTGTATACCGCTTTAAAAAAGAAAAGTGTTAAGCACCGGAAAATAAAATAACCATTGCGTCTCTTTTAATTTAATCATTTTCGAGTACGTCAAAACAAATCCAAGCGTAATATTGTAGCATTAGCTTACTGTATTTGAATAAGGTCTATTTAGTAAATTTAAAGTATAAAATAGCCAAACCAGATAGTATATTTTGCTTCTAATAAACTCTTAAAATGTTTCATAATGATAGAGAACTTAAATACTAGCACCAATATTAGTAGCAAAACCCGATGGTAGATGGCAGCACTACGCTGAAAAGTTCAGGCATTTCAATTGCGAATTTCCAAACTTAATTGCAATTCTAAACGTAATTTAAGTTTCTGAAATAAATAAAAAAAAAAAAAAAAAAAAAAAAACCATGAATTCCCCCCCCTTTTATCTACTGTACATAGTTTTTCCCTCTGAGAGCTGTTTATTGGTAAGTTGTATTTCCTTTATAATTTTTATTTTTATTCAGTGTGTTCAATTTGTACTTGCATTTTTGTATTAACGTTTCATCAATTTTCTGTTGTATTTATTATCTGAAATGTATTTTGAGCAGATTCTTCATTAAGCTTCCCGGAAGTGGTAGGCATCACCCTTAAGAACTTTTCAAACATACGATTACGCCTTACTACTATTATTCCAGCATGCTGTAGTCTTATCTACTGCTGATGTGTTCGATCTTTCGAAATCAGGGTCTTTTGTTTGCCTCCCTTCTCCTTTGTTCCTCCGATATCCCTCTTGAAAGCCGCAGGCAAGACTCATTCATGTGAAGTTTTCCTGGGGCTTTACAAGGTACGCCTCAATATTTATCAGATATTATGTAATATTAATTATTACTATGTATCCTAATTGGAAAGTAGGTTTCTTTAAAGAAATAATATTATGATCAGTAGTTTGCAACTGCTTTCTTCGGAAATTAATTACTCGCATAATTTTCTCCTCTCGATTTTCGGACGTAAAATTAGTGGGGAAAAAAAAAAAAAAAAAAAAAAAAAAAAAAAGGAGGGGGAGGGATATGCGAGGAAAATGCGGTAGAGTGCATGCGTGTTTGAATATAGACATGAAAAGATTAAAATTTATTTACAATAAAATGCTACTTTTAATTCTATGCACGCAACAAAAATGTTCAAAAAGGCATAAAAGACGGCGGCGTCATAGTAACACACGGTAGCCATTTACCACTTGGCCAAAATAAACTTTCGGTTTTGCCACTTACATATATCTAATACCGAAGCTGCAGCACGCCATCCCTTCCACTTCTGTTACAGCAGGACCTCATCTACTCCACTACTCTAAAGGATCCGCCTCTTCCGGGATGTCAAAACCTTCCGGTGACGTCATTGGCCACGGCGCAACGCACAGAGTATTAGTGAACTCCCATTATTTAACTATTATTTTGAATGAGAGCAAGACTTAAACTTTTGCTTCTGCTCCCTAACGTTATAACTTACAGACCAGAGGGGTATAGAAAGCTCTAAGATGGGTTACTGGAACAAAATTATCTCAGAAATCGCCTACAAACTTTAGACTGATGGTACTGGAATTATCTAAAGACATTTCTAAAGACTATAAATGTATGGTAACTAAGGCCTATGAAAAATAGCTGAATCTATATTTTTCCAGTCTTGCACAAATACATAATAAGCAATTGAAAAAGTAAAGAAAATAATCATTTAGCTAAACACGATCCTGCAGACGCACCTAAAGCAGGTTATATCAATATCCTACTCCCAGAGTTGAACACAAAATTAGCCATATGGAATTAACCATACTAAATTAGCCATACGGAAGCGAAAACACCCCTGAAACTGACAACAATGTGACATCTAGCAGTAGAAAAAAAATCCTCTGTAGTTTACATGATGTTCATAAGAAAAGCATGATTTAGCTTTTAAAAAAAGAGAAGGGAGGAGAAAATCTATTCTGTTCCAGAATACGGAGTTTTGCTTCTTTAAATATGTATTTTGAAAGAAGTAGTCTGTAATTGCTTAGTTAAAAAAATACTGTGATGCGATAAAAATATGCGTTTTGATATTTCTGTGATTCTTTTTCTACTCATCTTGTAAAGTGCCAATTTCTATGCCATATAATTTAGTTCGACAGTTTGTTTCGTTATCCGCCAAAGGTTCGTACACAAACTAATCGTTTAAGATGGTGCTTACTGTAATTTTTGTCTTTTTCTACTTTGCAATTTTTTTTTTTTTTTTTTTTTTTTGTAAATTTTGTTTATTGTAAATTTGTAAGAACAAAGGGTAAGTAATGAAGGTTTTTCCTTGCACTTTTAAAAAAGATTAGAAAAATACAATTATGTGTTAGAGATAGGTCAATATATGGTATGGTTTCTTAGAATACAAAATACTTTTTTACTTCATAAGTTTTCATAATTTTTATTACAAAATTCATAATTATTTATCAGTGGTAATAAATGAATATGCAATTCGTATTTAATAATTTTATCAAAATTTAATACTTTTATATTTGTAATTTCAATCTGGAAAAATATTTTACATTTGTGTTAAATAGTTCTCACTAAGCTAGCGAGAAGTCTAACGAATCAAAATTATGAAAATTAAGTACTTATCCTTGAATATTTAATTGCAAACTGTATCTTAAATGTTTTGGAATGTTTTGCGCCGCCTCTTAGGACGCTGATGATAGCATTTTATCTGTGATATCAATTATCACAAAACTCTCAAAAAAGTCCAGCAGCATTTGAGATATCTATATGCTATTCTTGGAAAAAAAAATGAGATTTATCGAGGAAATTTTACTGTATGGCTTGCTGCCTTCGCTTTATGGATATTTGTTTCTGAATTGAGGACATAATGATAAAGTAAAAAAAAAAAAAATAATAATAAATGTTACTAAAGATGAGGAACGAAAAAAAGTATTTCCAGTCACAGCGTTCTTTTTTTGTACTGGAAACATTAAGATATAAAATTGAAAGGGCATTCATTTTTACTAATAGATTATGTTACTTTATGAAAAAAGATAACTTAGGATATTTCTTCATGAATTACATTAATCCATCACGTAATTTGCATTATCAGTACTTACCCGAAGTTATCTGCCGTGGTGGGGAAGCTTGCATGATTGCAATGTGCAGTCGTAGCTTCTGACATTCCACCTGTACGAGGAGGTAGTGTACTATTGTAAAAAGACATATCACTTGTTGAGATATGCGGATGCGGAAATTCTGCTGCTGAGGAATTTGTTGAAGCTCCAGATACAGTGTTATTTCCCAAAATGGAGAACATCTACGGGAAAAAATATAATTATTAAAATGCATTCAAGTTTTATATATGTATAATTCATGTAAATAGGCATAACTAGTGGTGATTGAATGAACCTTTTGACGTAGAGATATTTCTGGCGGTCGCTGTAGTAGTAGAGATAAAATTTAGGAGAACACACAATTGACAACTTTGACTGATAACCGGGTAGGGATAGCATGACTATTTACTAATAATTTGCAGACAAATGTGCCATGAACTAACATATAATTTAACTGTTAACATTTTGAAAGATATTTTTTCCCACATCACTGCGTTATGGGGGCGAATAAGCATAACAGGATTTATCTATGACGTATTAAATTTCTGAAACAATAGAGGAAATAAGGCAGTGACTAGACGATGTTAAGTTTTGTAAGCGAGAAGAAGTAAAAAGGCAAAAAAGGGTGATCGAAAAGAGCGAACGTGATTGTGCAACAAAGGCTTTTCATACCAAGGGCAGGATTGCAATAAACAGATTACATTTCGGATCACATTACAAGAATTACAGCACATTCAGATTTCCGTAAATACCAAGATGTTTTCGACTCGGAGCGTTTGTGACGGAAAGTTGCACTGGCAGCTACATTTACTGTTCTATGGAATTTTAAAGCAATGGTACCCTGTACTTTTAACCAATTATTAAATCATACATAATGATGCAGTAGCTTTTTTTTTTTTTTTTTTTTTTTTCCCACTTTCAAATACTAGACATTAATTTTGTTATACAAGCTAGAATTTGAACAGATGGCTGAAAAAAAGGTATGGAGGCTTCGCGTTGAAGAACTTAGAACTTTCAGCTGAGGATAAATACACTTTTCTTATATGAGCATTTCGGTGAAGCAGCGGTTTCCCCCGACAGGAGTGCGGATGTAAAAAAAAAAAAAAAAAAAAAAAAAAAAAAAGGAATGCAGTTCATTTTTTTCATTATTATTCATTATTAAATGGAGTGAATTTAAATGGATCGGGATCAATAACTTTATAACTTTTAGCAAGAATAAGGAATTCAGAATTGTCTTCGTACTCTGATGGAATTATAGTTTTGTTCCTGAGGTAACAAAACATTTTAGAATTTATGCTATTTTAGAAAATTACGTTTTCGTTCCAATTTTATAGGTGTCTTATAAAACTTAGGTAGATTAAATAAGCTTAGAAAATTATTAGTGTAGTTTTATACCTGTTATAATATAGATGCAGTAATTTATGCCCTAGATCAAGAAACTCAATCCTAGATTGAATATCTCTGTAGACTAAACACCTCAGAAGAAACGCAATTTTTTAAATTCTTCCTGAGTGATAAATTAAGGAAAAAATAATTATATGCATTACAATAGATTATAAGGAATTCTCGCGCCTTCTTAGCACGCCTTCGTGGTGTAATGGCCAGCACACTCGGCGCGTATGCGAGAGGTCCGAGGTTCGAGTCCCGGCGAAGGCATTGCACATATTTCACATCTCCTAATTCCCTCCAAAAACTCCTAATGGCTCTACAGTGGCGCCCGAACAGGGAAAAAAGGTGGTGGATGACACTTCTCCACAGCCAGGATTTGGCGTTTGGGTCCCCTAATCTCCAGTCGCCCTTTAAAAGGGGGAGTATATAAGATATTTCTCCCGCCTTCTTAGCATGCCTTTGTGATGTAATGGTCAACACGCTGAACGCGCATTCAAGAGGTCCGTGGTTCGAGTTCCGGAGAGGGCATTGTTCATTTTTCACTTCTCCCGCTTCCAAATAACCTAATGAGCTCTACAAGGTTATAATAATTGGAATAATTAAATCATATGGGCATATGCCAGTTAATAAGAAAAATTATTTCAATATTCATCATTTAGTTAGCCATTCATTATTATACGAATATAGTTTGGCGCTATTACAGAACAGCATGGTGAGTAATTGCGCTCAACTATAATTTCATTTGTATAACAGTCTCCAAGGCACATTTAGACACCAACGGAGAATAATCTCTAAAAGTTCCTGAGACGGACTATGGTAAACATTAATATATATACAAAAAATTATGAAAGTGATTATGCATATAAAATATTACCTGTTGAGCTAAAGGTCCTGAATTCACACAGGACTCGGGGGCTGATAAAGATGGATATGAGGCATGTGATGAGTGATTCTGTCCGAAAGATGCTTGAAAACTTGGTGCAGATGGAGCGGATGTTAAAGTTTGTGGCCTGTGCCAGGTGCCACTTTCTACAATGGAAAATTTAAATATTTAAAATTCTTCATGCCAGTTTTAACACTGATAAAGAATAAAAGTTATAGTTTACAACAAAGAAGGATATTGGGAATGTAAACCTATTCTACTAGTTCAGAAGTAAAATTCTCAGGCTATTAAATTTTAAGCGCAATTTTCAATATATTACACTTGAAAATTTAGTTTTAAACATCTAAATAATTTCGAAAATTATTAATTAAAAATCAGAAAAGCTATAAATTACTTTACACTTCTAAAATAACCTGCACGTTGAAGAAAAAAATTCCGAAGTTTCATAAAAATTTTAATAAAAATGAAATTAGTTAGAAAGACAAGATTTGATCGCTGCGATTATGACAAAGCATACGAGGGCTATTTGCGTAAGATGAGAAATGCCTTCATGGAAGAAATTTTAAGGAAAACTAACTCGTATTCACGTTACGCATCGGAAAAGCTATGAAGTCCATGCTGCCAGCCCGTTCGTCAGCATTTAACCCAGGTCGAACTTCCCAGCAGTCTTATTCAGTTGATTACCAGTGAGTAATTAAAAGGACAGTGTAGATTTATAAAAATGTAAAGTAAACTAACAATAATACATAATAACATTCGGCATAACTTATTAAGAGAAGAAAAATATACCAAGATGAATGTAGATTTAAATTCAAGAATTTAACAAAGAACAGAAGCACAACATGCAAACTTTTCAGGAATAATACGTAGAAAATGTCTCACCTCGGATGAAAAAGAGACAATTTTTTTACCATTAAGATACCATTCGCAGTTCTTGCAAGTATTTTTAAGGAATACAGCTGAATATCACAAAGGCTTAACTACATCGAATCTGCTTAGTATCATCGCAGCTGATAATATATTCCAATATTTAGGAATTTAAAGAATAAGTGGAAGAAGGCCCCTTCCCGATTTTGGTACTATTCATCTTGTTGGATGCTTCTACTTTTAACTTTGATTTAATGATTTGAGTGAACGCTTGCATGCATTACTTAAAAATCTGTATTATTATTTTTAATTACCACTTTTTAACTAAAAAGGAGCATATAGAATTATTTATGTGATGTCTAATCACAGGCAGTAATCGTCACAGCTTTAATAAATTTTCATTTTCAAATTCTTCCTTATAAATAAATTTATTACTAACCAGTTGCTACCTTTGCTGTAGGAAATTTTAAAAGTAAATGAAATGCGGGGAAACATTTATTTAAGCTGATGTCGGAAAAAGACTGAATGAAACTTTTATTGAGTTTGAATTGTAGGGTTTATATTTATTTTAACTAACATTTATTTTAAGTTTAAACTATCTTTCCCGTCAAGCCTTACTTTCCCCTGGAATTGCCAATGCCAGAGTATGTAAATTTTAGTAGAACGCGCAAGGATTCAAATTGTCAGCGGAAGTATCTGAGTTAAATAGAAAGGAAACGAGTTCGAAAGTGTGCTTTCTTGCTTCACGAGCGTGGAGGTGGCTAGTTAGAAATTGAAGAACCACGCGTCTCGGCTGCCTCGGCAGTTTGTTAATCGTTCAACGTAATATTCAGAAGTTTGCTGAATTATCAGCGGTATCTTAGAACGCGGTGAGGTTAGTTACGTTTAGAGAACCTCGTAGTTAGCCACTTGTTACTATTCTTTTCTTAGTTTCTTATTTTTATTTTACCGCCGGGTCGGCGTAGTTTGTGAGCGTCAAGAGCACGCATTTGTAATTTCTAAAGTTGAATAAAAAGGGATTTAAACTCTTTTCAAGACTTTGGTCTACTTTCCAGTTCTTAGCAGTCACCACTATTGTTGCGTGCAGGTTGGAAGCGCGCAACATTACAGAATTTTGCCTGTTATCAGAAGTGGGACAAAAGTGAAGCAATTTAGACACACGTCTCTGGTGAATTATTAGAAATTAGCTACCGCAATACTGCGCCAAAGTAACTACAAAAAGTTAGAAGAAATGACGGATAACATTTAACTTTGAAACGCATTAAGATGCACCGTTCTAAAGTGACGTATTTTAAGTATGAAAAACTTTATTAACACTATTTACGATAACTGAAAAGCATAACATTCTCGATATTACTTTAATTTTTGGTGCTGTAGTTGAAGACACGATTTCTTATGCTCATACTTCGCACTCATCTGCTTGGCCAAGATAATACCTTTCAGTTTTTTTGACATAACATAGTGTCAACCCAATAAGCCGCAAAATTCTTTAGTTATTAATTAACTTGTTTGCTTTCTTACTTTTTTGAATTAATGTTTACATAATGCATACGTTTTATTGCATGATTTTTAAATACTTCAAGGCCAAGAAATATTTTATATTATAAATAACTCAGGAGACTTTTTGAAAGAATTAATGACCTTAATTCGTTCTCAAGCGTTTTACAGAACTGTATAGAATTTTTTCGTAATATTAAATTTTATTATTGGAACTAATGTATTGACATTGCTTTATGCTTAATGAACTGCACAGACTGCACTTGCATAAGAAACGCTATGTCTCCCACATCAGTTTTTCTTCACTTCAGTTTTTAATGCAGTTTAATCTCTAAGAAGTCCTATTAAGACCTGTTCAACCTTGCCATAGCGGGTATTTCCAAAGTCCATGAATTGAACTTTGAATAACGCAACTCTTACCTAGAGTTTATTTTGCGATACCTAATGCGTTAAAATCTAATGGAGCTACATCGAAAGAGTATGGGATTGTTTGAAAATGTAATGTATTTCATTGTAAGTTTCTTAATCTATTTCCCGTTATAAAGCTTAACGTTGAAGAAGACATATCTTTCGAGTTTTCATTCTGTTGTATCTATACTAAATTTTTTTCAGAACTGCATAGTTGATTTCCGTTACGGTTATTCCTGGAGTTGCTAAAGTTAAGAACGGATTAAGCAGATCAAAATCTTAGTTTCGATTTGTGTGATGATTAGTGAGCAAAGAGATGAGGTAAAACATGATTTCTCTATTTCTAAGTTGTTCTGTTGATTACAAGGAGATAATAAATAAATCTGCCTATTATCAAAATGATTATGATAATTACTAAAAAATGAAAAAAATAAAAGAAAATTTTGAGTTCTGAATTTTTTGTGGAAAAATTAAGACGAACCCTTCTTGCTAATTACAAAATAACTTGTATTGAAAACTGCCAAAGTAGCGATTTTGCCAATGCTGGTAATACCGGGGAAAAGATATCTCTAATACCTACGGACAAAATCATTAATTTCAAATAAACATTGTTTTGACATAGTAACTCCGATAAAAATAAATGTTTTTCTTTATCAACAATTTCCGTTAAAATGCAAATTAAGTTAAAAAATGTCAGTAATACTCAGCAGTAACTAAGGTTCGTGCAAAGTGATTGTAATCAAAGTACTTATTTATACTTAATGTTATTTATAACGTAAATGTTATTACGTTATAAATGGATTCAAATCCCACGAATAGGCTGGCTGTATGGAAGTTTTCGAGGGTTTTTACATTTGTAATTTGAAAACGAAACCCGTTCTCTCACAAAGTCCTCCACAAAGACATCCCTCTTCAGGCAGACAACCCTAGTGTGCTTTGCCATAATCTAATAAATAAATTTATATATAACACAAATATGAATCACTTCTCTTTCAAAGTTTTCTGCAAAGGTATTCCTTCTTATTCTGTATTATACCTTACGCAGATCGCCTTTGCGTGTTTTACTTCTAATTAATTAACCGAACCAAATCAAGAACTTGTTTAATTAAGTGAGACAGAAAAATCAATATCACGTTTTGTATAATTTTCACATCGTTATTATTGCTTAACATTTTTATAAATGCATCAAGTTTATATAAAATATCAAATAATAAATCACAGTGTGAACCGAAAGTATAACATCCAGAAGTACAATTTTAGGTTTTAACGTATGTAATCCAAGTGGAATTTAATACTGTAAGAAAGGATGGCGTAAATAAAGTCTTCCAGTCAAAAACTGAGCTGTATATAACTCTGCACGCGTAATAATAGCTTTTTGATCTAGGTTCGAATCTAGAGGAATGGAGTGGTTGCATGGATGCTTTCGTAGTTTATGCATATGTAATGAAAATACGAGCTTGTTTTCCTTATAAAGTCTTCTACAGTGGCATTTTCTCCTTTAGATAAGTAGCCTCGTATGCATTGTCATAGTGAATTAAACAACAACAATATGATAGAAGAAATATCTCTTTCCTCACAGAAGATGAGAGAAAATATTTCAGAAAGTATTCTTGAACAAATTAAATAGAATTCAATAAAATTGGAAGAAAAATAAGAAAGAAGGTTAGTAAATTACATTACTAAAAATCAATTGATTAAAAAAGTATTTTTTAGAAAAATATTTTTTCAGAGCAGAAATGAAAGACTTGATAGATATTTTGATATGACAACTAAAATGGAGATATGAAAACATATGAGATATATTTCGACCTACGGTTTCTAATTTGTCAAAAATTAATGTCTTTGGATTTAGCTAAATTAAAGGATGCAGCTTATAACTTAGCATTTAAATAGCCAACTAATATAAATTTTGCAGAAATTTCTTCAGAAATATCTACAGTAGGCGTCATTTAACGCTATCTCGTTTATCCACGGCTATTTTGGTACCATTAACAAAAATGGTGACACAAAAACTACACTCATGTCCATAAATTAAGGACAATGCAAAATCAGGCAAAGGAAGAGTTAGAAGCAAAAAAAAAAAAAAAAAAAAAATTGACTTATTTGTAAAGCTTATTTATTAAACAAAAGGTAAAGAGCAAAAACAGATGCTATATGTTTGATATTATTAAAAAAATTAGCGATTTTTTTCTCCCTGGAGCAAATTACAAAAACACCTATTTACGAAAAACCAATATTACATGGTTGGTATGATTGTTAATACATTGTATGTCTCCCAGACGATGCAATACAGTCCGTACAACGTCTAGGCATGCTGAGTATCAAATTATCGATCTGATCTTGGGGGATATTACACCACTCAAAAAGCAATGCTCTCCGAAGTTCCAGTAGACATGTAGGAGGAGGTTGACGGGCTGCAACTCGTCGGCCAAGCATGTACTACACGTGCTCTACTGGATTCAAATCCGGTGAGAATGCTGGCCAGTCTATACGGGTGATATCCTCCGATTGAAGGCATTCGCTTACGATGTTTGCACGGTGAGGACGGGCGTTGTCATCCATAAACACAAATTGTGCACCCATGGTGCCCCGAAACAAACGTACATGTTATTCCAGAATGACGTCCGATAGATTTGGCTTGTCATGGTTCCAATTTGAACATGCAGGTCAGTTCTGGAACCCAGAATAATTCCACCCTAAACGAGCACTCCTGCACCACCGTAACGGTGTCATTCAATGATGTTTTCTTGGTGGTAACGAGTACCTGGAGCTCTCCATATGAAAGTCCGGCGAGAATCAGACTGCAAGCTAAATCTGGACTCGTTGGAAAACATAACACAAGCCTACTGTTGCGGTGTCCACAATGCATTCTCTCTACTCCAGGCTAACCGCAGGCGACAGTGAGTTTCAGTAAGTGGAACGCATCTGACAGGTCTACGAGCATATAGACCAATCTGCCCTAAGCGTCTCTACACGGTCTGCCTTGAAATTGTCGTACCAGTGGCTGAACAGAGCTGACGAGGCAGGTCTGAGGCTGTGCTCCGCCTGTTTCTTTTGGCAGTAACTGCCAAATATCGGTCCTCATTCGGCGTTGTAACTCTGGGGCGACCTGTGTTGTAACGTCTACTCACATTACCATCATCTTGGAATCGTTGCCAAAGCCTGGAGATGACACTCTGGGCAATTCCAAGTTCGTCTGATACTTCCAGTTGGGAATGCCCACATTCCAGACGGCCGATAATTCTACCACGTAAAAAATCATCCAAATGTGTCCTTTGTGTCACAACTATTCAATTATTGCACTGAAATGCTTATAAAGCGCCTGCAAACAATTTTACTTCTTTGCCTGTATTCCTTATATATCACTCTCTTACACTCTCGTCATTGTGACGTACCATCGGTGTCATCTGGCTACTTCCTGAAATTTGCATATGATTCTTGAAGATGTGTGTAGTGATTTTACAGGTGATATATTTATTTTAGAGTTCGATTTCCGAGTGACTCCGAATTATCCTTAATTTATGGACATGAGTGTATTTTGATATAACTATACTAGAAACCTAAGTTATATTCACAGCATTTTAATTAAAGGAGGAAAAAATGACATTGATAATGGAGTGTTTGTAGTTTTTTCGAAAAAGGCTCGTTTATGAATTATTCGTATTCATAATGTGCCTGAAAATTATTTTATCGATGCTATACCACAGATCTTAACACTCGAAGAGAGTTTGTAACACGTCTTCATCAATATTCACCCAAGCGTTAAATTCCTAACAACTGAGGTTAGTTGGAGACATTTCAGTTTCTCCTTCAGTATCCTCTATTTCATCATATATTAAAAGGTAAACATGTTGAAAATAGATCTCGGTTGCTTTTTCTGAAATGGGCTCCCAAAACATGTTCAACAGATGCAGTGCATCAAGAAAGATAATTTTTCTTGCTAATTCATTTTCATTTGTATCCAATTTTTTGTTTTAAAGTAGTTTTAACACTAATCTCACGACTATAATATTTTTTCATAGCTATAATAATTCTTTGATCACCTGGTTAAATTATGATTATGATATTTGCAGGTAAATATACAACTTCAATACGTTTAAGTGCATAGCTTAATTTCTAAAATTAGATGTGCCGGAGCCCTAAGAAAAGCCGTCAATAAAGGGGAAAAATAAATAAATAAAATAACTAATATAAAATAAAATAAAAAAAAAAAAAAAAAAAAAAAAAAAAAAAAAAAGCCTGCTGAAGATTTTACATTACATGATTACGCCCAAAGGGGATTTTTTTAACATTTTGTGTATTACCTTTATTTATTAAATATCCTGTTCTTTGCAGTTAAACCATAAAATTCAGTTCAACAGCAATATCGCAAAATAATTTTAAAATGAGAATATCTTTAGAATTTCCGATACACAGTCTCGCGCGCTCGAGATAATTCCCCCCCCCCGTACCGTTTGCCATTACTCGCTTTGAAGTCGTTGAGTTTGTTAATCAAAAACTCTTTAAAGTGTTACAAAATATGAAATTTAATATCGATTTCACATTTTGTAACACTTTATTCCAAATTTGGGCCCATATTCGGAGGAGGATTACGTTATTCAAAATTGAATGGCTCTAGGTACCGTTGTTTTATCACAGTGCGAGAAACATACATACATTTATGCAGCTTATGCTTTATGTAATTTCTTTAAATATAACACGGGGCGATAATATTTGTTGGCAACAGTTTGAAAAGTGATACGGACATTTACAGTGAATCGAGGCAAAATGCCAAGACGAAATTATTAGCCCTTCTGAGCTAACGCTTCTTTGGACTAATAGTTAAGTAATAAAATACCATATGTATTATTCGGGGTTCCAAATGAAATTATAATCTCGCTCAAAAACTAAGAAATAGCTTAGCCGGGCTGTAGCTGAATTTAAACCTTGAATATATAGTATACTGAACTATTTCAAGAGTTGATAGAAAAAAAAAAAAAAAAAAAAAAAAAAAAGAAGACCATTCCTTTTTCAGCACACCAATGAAATATAGATAAAACAGTTAAAACGTCGCCTAATGAGGAACAAAAGAATGCTAGACAGAGTATGAGAGCATGGAAGGGGATTTTAACGAAAGTATGTAGGTATGAAAACAAAGAGAGTAGAGTCTAATACTTTCTGAGCCCAATCTACTGCCGATATGATTTTAGCTGAGTGAATGTGACAGGGATTTTAGCTGAGTGAATGTGACAGAGATTTTTAGCTGAGTGAATGTGACAGGGATTTTAGCTGAGTGAGTGTGACAGGAATTTTAGCTGAGTGAATGTGACAGGGATCTTAGCTGAGTGAATGTGACAGAGATTTTTAGCTGAGTGAATGTGACAGGGATTTTAGCTGAGTGAATGTGATAGGGATTTTAGCTGAGTGAATGTGATAGGGATTTTAGCTGAGTGAATGTGATAGGGATTTTAGCTGAGTGAATGTGACAAGGACCCCGCATTCGGTTTCATTGACCTAAAAAGTTTGCAGGTGCTCTTTTCCGTGGCAAGTCACTAGCGCTGGACATGCAATGCTAGGATAAGTACTTCAAATAAGTTCACGAAAATATTACTCGGTTTCATAAATTCATTGCACTGACTAAGTAAGGCTTTGATAATGTGGGTGGGGCTTTTCTTTCACTAAAAATTTCAACTTCCATCAAGTCGTTTGTTTCCTGAGAAAAGACAGGCATGCATTCAGAAGTCAGAATTAATTCTTAAGGCTTACTTATTATTAGCATAAAATTTTCGAGATAAAATGAATTTTCTGATTGTGGTTCAGTTGCCTAAAAGAAGGTTAACTACACGACAGAAATATGGTTCAATTGCATATCGGAGCCCTCTCATTTTGGGCTCCGGTGCGTTGCCCCAAAAATTAAGATTTATCTCAAAAACTGAGAAGTACAGGAGCTGGGTTCCGGGGTAAATTAAGCTTTGCTTAAGAAAGATATGTACCTTATGCAGTTGTTAATAAGAAGGAAATCATTCTTTATTTAATTATCCCATTTCAAAAGGCCCACCACATTGTACCAAAAGGTAAAGTCGCTAGACACTGCTAGTTAGACCTGGGTGCGATTGCTAGTTCAGCTAGTTTGATAACAATATTCGAATGATAAGATTAACCGCGATCACAATAAGCGGCTCCTACTGTAATCTAAAAACTAGGCTTTTCCAATAATTTTGGACACCAAAACAGGTACAAGTTTAGATCTTTCAAGATAATTCACGGATATAGCTTACTTCAACTGTACCTGAATTTGAAAAATTAAATGTGAGTTTAATATTGACCCCCCACTTGAGTTTGTTTCAGAGGAAAGTAATCTTACCGTGATGCTGGAGGGGATTTGTTGTTGTTTCGTAGCAGTGAGGATTAGGTGGGGGATATGCCACTCCTAAGGGTATCGTTGGAGCTGCTGAAAATGCTGCTGACATTTGCTGGCCTCCAACTTGCTTTCTCCAGCGTGCTCTCCTATTGCTAAACCATACCTGCATAAATACTTCAGTTTATTATTGAGTCTTAAACTATGTGCATATTATAAAATTTGAAATATTTAATTATAGAATAAAATAATTAAGATATTATCTCTATGAATTCCCAAGGCAAAAATGCATATAATATTCATTATAAAGAAATTCTGAAAAATCACGGACTTCGAGTTTTGAACAAAGTCTAGTATAACTGTATGTATGAATGTTTTTGAATTTTGAAAATACTGGGATTAAAAAAAGATTGCAGATATTTAAAGGCATTAAAATCTACCCCAGACTGTACATGAAAGAAAAAAAAAATTTATCAACTGTGGTAATATATAATAGGCAGGGATTCAAACATTCAGTTCTGTTAACTGAAATTGTTCTACTGCTCTAAAAGCACTTTCTGATTTTATGAACAACATGTTGGTCGTGTGGATTAACTTCTGCAAAATCAAAATATGTCAAATTAAACATTTATTCGAAGTTTTTATAGTAGCCAAAACTTAATACCTTTTCGTACTGTATATTTATCAGATGTTTTGACCTGAATTAAGAGAATTTAGCTGAGCTCGATGACTAATCTTTCCTTTCATTACAGAAATTACCTGGTAAAAGGAGTAGAAAACTTTAACCTTTATCGTTTTTAGATGCTTATAGACATCTAAAAATCGCGATAGATTGTTTTAAGTAGAAATCAAGCTTTCTTTAGTTCTGAAAATGTTAAAGACAAATTTACTGGCTTTTGAACTACTAATATTGATCATGAAGACTTATATTTCATTTTCGGACTACAAAGGAAAGGATTTTATGTTTAGGCACCTTTTAAGAATCTGACTGAATCATACCTGTTCGAGAACAGACAAATCAGAAATTGCAATTTCATGCTTATTTCTTTGACATTAGCCAAGAAACTTCAGATTAAACAGCCATTCTTTATTCTTAACAAATTGCGCAGGAAATTTTTATTATTTTATGCACGTAAAATCTAAAAGCCATCTTGGTCAGTCTTACCGCACCCAATGAGGGCGAATTTCGAATAGGTGATGGAAGCTTGTGAATAGCACCTTCAGGGAACGGGAAAATTTACAAATCCGTCAATCCGAAAGTCATCTCAAAAGGATGATGAAAAGAGAAGTAAAAAAAAAAAAAAAAAAAAAAACCCACCATTTTTTTCAATCTCAGGATATTTTGTTCAGAACTAGAATACAGTTTGCAAGAAAGGGCTTCCAACCTTAAGGAAGGAGGGAAGGCGCAAGAAAGGAGACTCGAAGCTAAACATGATGTCAGAAAATTTCAGACTTTAAATATACATATATATATAATATATATACATATATATGAGAAATGAGTAATCACATTCAGATATAAATTATATCAAACTGTATCGTTAATGTTGTGGAAGGAAATTTGCTGCGTAAAATTAAGTCAAATCAGTTGAAATAATATAGATGATCAATTAAGATCGGGAATATAACAGGTATGTTAAAAATTATTTAGAAATGGCTGAATACGCAGGAAATCATAACAAATCAAAATGTTAAAAATATTGTATTAGTGTTTAAAATGGAATAAAATATTAGAATTATGAATGATGAGACTATAAGAAATGAAAACAGCACAAAAAGTATATTAAATCAGAACTATGAAATTTAACTAATAAAAATTTATTAACGTAAGAAAATTAATTAAGAGTTATAAATTTAAATTGCTTAATTTAAAAATCATTGGACAATGTAAGGAAGACACTTTTAAACATCTGAAAGAAATCAGAAATAAAATTGAGTAAAACAACTAAGATTTCGAAAAATGAATTATTTGTTGTACTCTATAAGCAGAATACATAACAAATAAGTTAAAAATTAAAGAGTGCATAGAAAACTAGAAAGGAAAAAAATATCAAAAAAGTTAATAATTATGCTTAGAATTAAATGGCATAATAAATAATGATTATATACGTATATGATGCGAAAATGTAAGAAATAGTTTTCTTTCTTCCTTTTTTTAAGTGGAAAGAAGTTTAAAAATTGCATCTAAAATTAAATAATATAACAAATAAACTGCGTGTATATAAACAATTACTTTCGTAAATTATAACAAGTCAGTTAAAATTCAGAACATGTTAAAAATTACAAAATGCATGAAAAACATTTCTGGGTAAAATGAAATAAAATATTACAAATTAGAAACGTTAAGTATTAAAAATTATAGCAAATCAATATGTTATGATCAGAAAATGTAAGAAATAACTTAAAATGAAGCAAATCAGTATATTATTATGAACAGAAAATCTGAGAAATAAGTTAAAATCAAAAGTTTGTAGGAAACTGTAAAGGAGAAAAATTTGAAAATAAAATTAAATAAAATGATAAATTAAAAAAAAATCCAGAAAGTTTAATTTCATGAGATGAAGAATTTAGGAGTAAATTACTTTTATTTCTTTTTTCCCTTGTAACATGCACTGTGTCTAGAAACGTGCACTGAATGATTTAAATAATAGATTTTAAAAAATGTCCAAAATGTATAATTTTCTTTTTTCGTCAATAGAGTCGTCAATTCATCAATTTTCCTCAACAGTTTTCTCAACCCCAATCATTTTCCCCAAACTAATATGCCCAAACAGTAAAAATCCTTTTGACAGTTTGCCAATTTTGAGAAAGTAAATTCAAATATAAAATCGAAACTAAAAGTAGCAGTAAGCCTATAACTCATCTTAACCAGCAGCATAAAACAATGCACCTCTACTCGTGACTACGCCCTCTGTGCCAAAAACAACTCAGATTGTTCGTGACTATTTGCCTCTCATGGTTATGCCGTCTATTGTGACGTCACTGATGACGCTGCCCCTGGCCCACGCAATCTGAGTGACTTCACTGGTCAGGCTCCTAACCCTCTGCTGCAGAACTCCCATTTTACCACTGCTTATCAGGCTTATCCAATGCTGGCGCTAAACTGCACTGTTTGGTGACAGTTTTTGTTTATTCTATTCTCCCATATAACGAATGGACAATTCGTGCTCATGTACACATCCGCTCTCATGCTTTGATTTGAAATTATCGTATCAATCGTAGTATATCTACTGGTCATACAGTGATTCTGATTAAAAAATCAATCACTTAACAATCAAAAATTTTTTTTAAAGCAGTATATATTTAGAATCCCCAATTAAGTGTTAAAAACTGCCATACAATTCTTTTTGAGTCTTTTCTCAATTTATGATACCAGGTTCAGTTTCTTCTTTTAATAAGATGAACACTTTCTTATTTATTATTTTAGCTTTTTTTATTTAGCATCATTTCCTTTGCACTTACATCACATAAAAATTCATCAACAAAATCTCAAAATCTTTAAAAACAGTATATGCTTAAAATTCCGAATAGAGTGTTAATTGCTGTCATATATTTTTTATATTCGCTATATTATTTACATTAGTTACATTATTTCTTTAAAAATAATGCATAGAGATATAATTTGGTGGCAGCATCCGTTTATTTGAAAAGTGATTCGACGCAAAATCAAAGCGAACACAGAACTGAAGATTGATTTTAATTGATATTTAATTGCTTTATAACGAGACCTCGTCTTCACAATGAGCCCTTTCTTGTTGTATTAAGCACAATTCCAAGAATTCATTTAATGCTTATAAGTGTAATATGCTATTCTCAAACACATACCTACTTTAAATACCAAATTTGAGAAGTTTTGGATTATCTCATAATACATTTTTTTACGAAAGTCTGTTCAGAGCTTTCGGTTTATCAGTTTCCACTAAAATTCTATTACGTTGTTCCCATTGATATAAAAGTCTTAAATACTAAAATTAAAAAGTTTTGGATTATAGTTTAATACAGCGTTTCATTGAAAAAAATAATCGGATTCAGGTAAAGCGCCACTCCCAGTTGTCCATTAAAGACTATTATGGCCTTCCTGTAAAGTACCACTTTGGGCTGCCCAAATTACCCCCAAACCTAATCAACGTTTTATATGAATGTAGAGACAGTAAATACCTAAACAGAAATTTTTGGAAATTTCATATAAGGGTTATCGTGGATCAAAAAATTTGACACAGATTCACAAATAGACATACATCTTTAATAATGTGTTATGGGAACTCTAATTCGTGCTTTCACTTAAAACTTGATCTCGAATTTTTAGACCGAAAATATTTACATCCATTACTTATGTATGTAGGTTGATGGGAGGTAAAAATCTTTCCCTCATCAATTCTGAAAATAAATTAAATAATACATCTAAAATTCACAGATGTTTCGTCAAATAATAAATCTGGATGGCGGAAGAGTGTCTGAACAATAATCAGAGGATTACAAGGTAAAATTGGTAAAATTCCGGTCTGTAGAATATTAGCAGCTAATTCTTATACTATAATGTATCTCTAGAATGATTCTCTCCCCCCCACCCAAAAAATTGAGAGTTCACATTCCTTATTAGGCCCATAGTATAAAGATGCAATTTAAATTCCATCTTTAGACTATGGGTCACCCAGTATTTTATGTTTAGCAAATATTTAGGAATGTGACCTGGAATAATAATTACTGGTAATTTCGAACCTTTTTGTAGTTCTAATTTTAAATAATATTTGTATGAAGATAAACTTGAGATAGTTATAAGTATAAAAATACACTGGTGTGCAAAAATTAAGGACGAAGTCGAAAAATTAGCATATCAGCTGAACGAAGAGGCAGAGCGGACAGAAAGACCAATCAGGAGATTAAGTAAGGTGATGTACGGTAGCACATGCGCAGATATGCAGGTAGACGTAATGGGGGAGTGTCTGAGTAGTATAAAGCATGTGGTCGGTGTAAGATCAGTATTTCTGGCAAAGAGATTGCACGCCGTATAGCAGTTAAAATCACACCGAGTTGCTGCCTCAGCGAGAAATGGCGAATAATCAGTCTGTTAGACGACATCTGGATGCTTTTACCCGAGGTCGAATCATTGGGAAGTTGGAGGAAGGCCGCAGTGTGACAAGTGTGGCTGCAGAGTTCGGAATTGCTCACAGCATCGTTTCACGACTTTGGAGACAATTTCAAACTACAGGAACAGCTATCCGGGGGTTTAGTAGTGGTCGTCCCCGAGGAACCACACCCGCAGATGACCGGTATATTGCCTTACAGGCCAGAAGAAACAGGCGGCAGACAGCGGGAGAAATTGCTAGACACACGACACAGGCGACTGGACGACCGATATCGCGTTTTACCGTGGCCAGAAGACTGCACGGTGGTGGTCTGTTTGCACGATGCCCTGTACAGTGTATACCTCTAACGCCTGCCCATCGGAGAAGGCGTTCTTTGTGGTGCCGGGAACACCGGAATTGGAGAGACAATGAATGGGGACGAGTACTCTTTACAGATGAGAGCAGATTCAGTCTGAGTAGCGATTCTCATCGCATACTCATCTAGAGAGAGCGGGGAAGCTGCAATCTTCCCTCGAACATCATTGAAAGGGACAGGTATGGAGGTGGCGGTGTTCTCGTTTGGGGAGGCATCATGCTTGGTAGTCGTACAGACCTTCACATCTTCGACGCAGGTTCAGTCAACGGGACCCGTTATTGTAACGAGATTCTTCTTCCATATGTGCGTCTTTTTAGAGGCGCTATGGGTCCGCAGTTTCTTTTCATGGACGACAATGCAACATGTCATCGCACAGTAGCTGCCGAACAGCTTATAGAGAGTGAGGATATTGAACGTATGGATTGGCCGGCACGATCTCCGGTTCTCAATCCCATCGAGCATGTATGGGATTTTCTAGGAAGACGCTTGGCAGCTCGTACCTTCCCACCAGTAACGATTCCGGAGCTTGGCGCTGCAAGACGAATGGGCAGCAATGCCTCAACAACTCATTGACACCCTCATTCTCAGCATGGGCAGACGCTGTGAAACCTGCCTAGCAGTCAGGGGAGATCATATCCCCTGTTAAAGACCGGATGTTTCTTGCTGGACACCCATCACAGGGATGTTTCGGCCTTCAGTCGCATTACGCTCCATGCTACTTTTTCAATAAAGCTTCTTTTTATCCCTCTGATTTCTCTTTTAGTAAGTGTTGCTTACATTACTCATGTCCTTACGTATTGGGGATCTTACGGTATTAAATGTGTTGATTTAGAAAGCTTTTGTACAAAGTTATATTGAAAAAAACCGTCTCGTCCTTAATTTTTGCACACCAGTGTATACATACGGAGCCACGATAGGCCACCAACTGTCTATTAGTGAATTAAATAGGTGGAACATACCTGAACTCGAGCTTCAGTTAATCTTGTCCTTTGGGCTAGCTCTTCCCGAGTATAGACATCGGGATATTGTGTTCTTTCAAAAGCTCTTTCCAATTCATCCAGTTGCTCCGCACTAAACGTAGTGCGGGAACGACGCTGTTTTCTTTTTAAAGGAATTCCTGGTTCAGAATCGCAGTCGGAATCATCATTGGCTATACGTCCTAAAATTAATGGAGTACAAAAGCATATACTTATCTATGGAAGTTTCTTAAAATTAGAAATAACAGCAGGTACTTCGAATTAGAAGCTTTTGTGTTGTCAGTTATAAAAATTATTTTTCATGGCTTGTTAATTCTTTTGATGCAAATGATAATACATTTACATTAAACATAAAAATCACATATAAAAATAATAAGAAAAATGCAAAATTTTTCTCAGATGGAGTAAATTTACAATGATAATTTGTAAAATTCGGCCGGGGGAAAATACTCACGTTTTTTCTAATTGTACTCAAATTTACATTAACTCAGCAAGAAAAATTGTAAAATTTTTATACGACATGCAACAAAATACTTTCTTTCGTTTATTAATGGCCCAAACATTTTGAGTTTGAAATTTCCAAAGAGCAGTATTTTATGAATCTATGTTTAAAGACCGTCAAATAAATATTTTTCTAAATTCGAGATTTTATGAGTAAAGCTAGGAAAAAAATCAATGTTATCCGTTTTCCAGTTCATTTTGCGATTACTTAAACTGGTAAAACCACTTTATTAAAACTGACACTTCAAAGTAATACTTTTGTCAAATCCCCAATTATTTATGGTGAGTTTTCTCCATTCTTTATTTCTTTCCAACAAAGATAAATTTATTTTATATTCTGCATCATAAATATTTATTATCCACAAGATGATTTAAGTATGCCATAAAACTGATTTCAAACACCGTTTTTTTATCAGAAATAAGCCACTTAAGATTACAAAAGACTGTATCATTCATTTAATTATTACATGAAAACATGAAAAAAGAGTGAGAAAAATAAATATGTGTGCTTAATGAGTCCATTCCTTATTTTGCCAAAATTGTTTATATTGCAGAAATCACGAGAATATCAATTTACTTCGGAATGCACCTTATGCAATTAATGAAGTACTATGTTCAAATACTTAAATGTTAAATTTTAATAATCCATTGTTAATAGATGCTTAAACAATCAAAAAATACATTATATAAAATAAAGCATTTAAATAAGCAATGATATTCATAACAGCCTAATTTTCATAACTTAGAAAGGAACCGAAAACAGTAGCACGTGGTCGAAAGCATCTTATTTTTTTATAACGACAAATTACTAAAAGTACCCGCATATTAGTATTTTTACTTTATTAGTATTTTGATACTATTACAATGCTTGAAAACTTCATTTCGTGAAAACGTATCGTGTTTCTCCCCCGGCGGTCATCAAATTTGACAAACGCTGTAGTTGAAGCAACAAAACATCATTGAAATCAAGCCGGGCCACCATCGAAGGAAACCAGGTGAGGCGCTGACGAATGACCAGAATGGGACCTGGACACTGGTAGGCGGGACGCCACCTATGTTCCGGACACAATAGTCTCAGGGTGACGCGATACTGCTCACACCTCATATTTAACTATTCATTCGAATGTAAGACCAGCCAGCCGGAGGAAAGACGGTTTCTTTGAAGGTTCCGACGACAAGAACCCCCGAGGAAAGGCACAATGAATTTGTGAGATCTCCCGCTGAGAGAGCTTGACTCGGTGTCTTTTCAAGACGTTTACCTACTCTGGATTAGAAAGTCATTAACACCCCTTTTCTCACCCCCAAGAAACCCCTCTTGTGGGCGAAAGAGTATATTCACTCAGTGAAGTCCCCGTATTCTTGTACTACAAATTTTGCTGATGGTCTGTATAGTTGTCATTATTATGGTAATACGTCAGCCCGATTTAGACTGAACTTGCATCAAAACATTTCACGGTTAAATGCAACAGTATCGTTGCTATACCTCAACAACTAGTTAGTTATGATAAAATTCTGCTGATTTAAAGTGGGACAATCTGTCTGAAAATGTAATCTGTTATGATACAGAAAATCGTTCAATGAGGAAAAAAGAATTTTTTTTTTAACTTCCAGTCCTTATGAAAGTTTTAATGAAGTCGTAATTACTGATGAGGATTTGTTAATATTTAATTCTTTTAAATTTTAAAGCATGATTAGTAAATAGTTCAGTCGTTTTGGCATTTAAACAGATGTTCAAGGTTTAAAAGATTTGTTCACTTTTGTCAAACAGATCTGTTATTATCGTTGAAAAAAATATGTATTTAACTGCTTGTGTGAATGTTAGAGGGTAAATCAGAGATTGGTAATGCAATCCTATATATAAGCCTAATATTTTAGGAGCAAGTTTTTGTTACTAAGTTCCCATGAAACATGTTTCTGCCTAAAATAAATTAGGTTAATTCATAAACTCAAAATAAAGTTTTTTACATTTTTTTTCATTTTTACACACATCCCTGCCCCCAACTTTGATAAATTTATAACTTTTATACATCTGAAGAAATAACTTACAAATACAAATATATAAGTATCTTTATAAAAGCAATTCTGTTCTGTATTTTGAAGTTGTATGCTATTTTAAACTACATAACATGTATTTTCGCTTTTTTTTCCCTCTTATGTTATGATAGAAATCAGCTAGAAAGTCATTACAAAATTGAAAAAATAAAGATTATCTTCAATGGAAGTCCATATAGCTGAAATAAAGAAATTCTCACAAAATGTGCTGTAATTCCCAAAATCTGATGATAGTGATTCTATGAAAGGGAGAAACTATATTTTTTAATTCTTTATCTGAATTTTTTATTTTGTTACAATATTCTCCTGTTAGTAGGAGAAAGGAAGACATGCTTGTGCGCATTGCTGTAGCAAGTAGAAAAAGAAAATTACGAAGACCTAAAGAAGTACGGTGTATTAAATAAACATCGCTTTAGGAAAACTTTTTATCGAAAGGAGAAATAATATTACATTTCTCATCGAAGTGCTTATCATGAAGGAGAAAATAATCTAAAGAATGTTGTTGAAATTCGCTTTTTCTGAATATTTTCCTGTGTGGTTTTTTTTACTGCATTATATAACTACACATCTGTAGAATTCTCATTTTCAGAATCTTTATCAGAATGTAAGGCGTATAAACTTTCATTTTTTACACTAAACGAAATAATATTATCTAAATGAATCGATATGTGAGTCGGTAAAAGCTGAAGATGCTTAGTTTTTGTGGAATTATAATTTTCTACAATTAACATTGAAAATTACTTCGCACTTCTGATAAAATAAGTTGATGCAAAGAAAATGAAGCTAGTTTTTTAAAGCAGGTATCCACTTGTAGCTTTCTTTTCATGCATCTTCTATGCAGCAGTTTGAAATGTTGGAAAATAAAGCGGAGGATATAAAAGCTTTTCCAAGCAACGCATCATCGTCTGAGTTCCATATTTACAGTAATGTAAGGGTAACAGAGTTCTGAAAAGGTTCCTCTTGATTTGGAACAACGAGTGAGACTGAGTATGTTACACGGAAGATAGGCGATCAAGATCTGAAGAGGTGGAAAATCAGGTAAAAAATCAGTCTTTGTGTTTCCCTTTACTAAAGAGAAGGGGGAAATGAAGAAAAATCCTCGAAGCGAAAGAGGCATCACAAATTCCTTTCTCACGGCTGTTTTGTCAAAAACCAGAACCTAGGGGCTGTCAAGGGACTAATAGGGAATACGGAATTCGGCGTGGTCTAAACGCGTTTTAACCAGCACGAGACGATGGTTTTCCACAAGGCCTTATGAGACACTAAGGTGTTCTCAGCAGCTGCTTTTCTCAGCCTAGAAATAACTACGACAGTAAGGCGATAACAGATGGCTTCTAAGCATAGACAGAGGTGCCGTGTGAAGAATCGAACCCCGCATTTAGGCTAATTTTGCATAGAGTATGATCGTGAATTGCAGTCGCTTTAACCCACACGCTCGACTTTCAGAGATCCCCCTTTATAGTTCTTTGTCAAGCTTTTCTGGGCTTCTTTTGGCTAGGGAGGAGGTTCGCAATCGGCTATGTCGAATCGGATCGAATAGGGCGTGGGGGGGAATCGGCAACGGCACTGAATGGGCTGTTCCGCTCATTTGCAGGCCATTCTCCGATTTCTGATATCGCCGGATTTGGGATGCCGGACCCGGGATCGGACGGGCGGATATATGTGTTATAGATCATCTCTGCCGTCCGTTGGGAGCTTGGGATCTTCGAGAACGTTTGGGAAATCAGTCGGGGGGAGGATAGTGTGATGCCGTCACGCTCATTTTCGGCACCTGTATTTGCGACAGCCGACGCTGCTTTAGAAAACACATTAAGCAAACGCTTACGACACGGGTGTACAGGATTTGTTAGCGCAGGATAAACATATTTCTAATGAATGTTCTTTAACAGCCTGTTTATGGGATATTTTCTAGAAAAATTTGATGACCCCATGCATTTACCACATTTTTACATCTAAAAATTTAATGTCTGCTACACTTCAACCAATACTGCTTAACTTTAAATACAAATTGTGTCTGATAGCTTATATTCCCTTTTTGTATTACTTGAATTAGTCTTAAAACACTAAAACTTCGTAAATGACCTAACGCCCACAGCTAGTTAAAGCGTCGAAACACTAGTAATTTTACTTTAGACTCAATTCTCTGTTAGCAGAACGGATTGGTTTCATGGGTATTTTCGCGGTTTCCCCATTGCGTAATGTAAATCACAAACTTCTTTTTTAGAGACATAAAATCTCTAAGTCTCTCTAAGACTTCCACTGTTCTTAAATATTTTATCATAATTAAATTAACATAGTAGCATTGATGGACGGAAGCTATAATACGTAACTTAGAGCAAAATGTGATTCTTCGAAAACTGCAAATTTGATATAAAGCAAAATTTTTAATATAACATCCGAAGAAACCCTTATCAATTAAATTCGTATTCATTTTATTAGCGTTTTTATATCTCTAATGTAAATGGATTAATTCTTATCTCGAGTTCCATACCCATTCCCTAGATAACCTTTTAATGTTCTTGGCGTATGATTTGAGCAGTTACATGAGATTTGTGTATTTCACTTTAGCTTTGATAATTAGAGTAACAGTAATTTTAAATGTTAACGCATTCTTAGAGGGCAGCTATTT